TATGATGATATTCTTGCTAATACATGGAGTTTTAATACAGAACTTTAAAAAGTTAGAGCCAACCATATAAAAAGGGCAGTTGAATAATTGTGCATTAGCAGGAAAAATCACAGTACCACTAACTAAACATGTCGAAACACTGACCCAAAGCCCAGATAGCAGCAAAATAGACAATCTTGCTGATGAACGGCACAAAACCAAAGGGGTGATGAATCAGTAAAACTCCATCAAAAACAAAGTGTGCTTAGAAGTCTACATGGAATACTTGGTAAACTGAAAACATCAAAATGGGAAAATAATATGTTTTAACAGTGGATGCAGTATGTTGCAAGTAAGCACGCAGTCTTGGGTGACATGTTGCAACACTAAGAGAATTCCCCAAATGATGCCCCTTCCAAGTTTTGACTCAAAAGGCTAATGAAAAGGAGACATGCTTTGCATACTGTGTGGTACACATGGCGGGAGGATATGGGAGATGGAGTGACAATGGGAGAAATTGTCCTGTATACTTATCGGATGAACTGGAGTCTTGGATACCACTTGTGGTCAACATGGTAGAGGACACAGTATTCCCATATTGTATAGCACATGGAAATGATATGATAGCAGTGATAAGACTAGATAAGAAGGACCCCCGTGTACAGTGTCAATGCAAGATGTTCCATGTATTACATACAAGAAAATGGATGCTTCAAGTACAAAACTGTGCAACACAACTAAGAAGGCAGCTTTTCAATGTCAGCAGGTAGTAATGGATGGCTCTATAAGGTTCTATAAGGTTTTATAATTCTATATCAATAGACGGATCTATTTGTCATGGAAGAGGACAAAAATCCCAAACCTTACAATAGGATCACGACCACTGGCAGATGTGTTTTGGTTGTGTGATGACAATAAAAAGGTAACAGTAGTACTACCAGCAAACTGGACAGGAATTTGCACACTGGTTATGCTGACAAGACAAGTAACAGTACTTGGTTCTCCATCACAAAATAAAAAGTAGAACTGAACAAAGTCTAAATTCTATATTGAAGATGGATGAACGCATTTACGTTGCCTGGAACCAGGAACCACACGGAGTGCCCTCAGATAATCAGGCAGTAGGGGAAGACTGGATCATTTCAGGACAAGTATTAGGGAGCATACCACAACCAATTATAGGTGCAATGACTAATGCACACTAAATAGCACATAACAGCAGATTGATAAACTATTTATGGTACAATCAGCAAAGATTTATTAACTGGTCCATATCAGCAATAGGGTCCATGCATGAACAACTGCTTGCAACATCCTTGATGGCTTTGCAAAATAGGTTTGCTTTGGAAGAAATACTAGCAGAATAACAATGAGTCTTTAGTTACACTGGAGAAGAATGCTGTATTGTTATTCCAATGCAAACAGGTGAGGAAGGAAACCTGACAAAAATATTACAAAAGTTAAAGACATAAGGGATGAACATGTGGAAAATTCTAACCGGAATACCAAGGCACATGCCTGGTTTAACAATCTGTCTTGGAGAAAATTCCTACAGTTCATAGGAGTGGTGATTGGAACACTGTTGTTGATTGTCATGGTGGTCATGTGTTGGGGCGGCTGTTGCTCAGGAGGTAGAGCAGGTCTTCCACTAATAAGAAGGCTGGTGGTTCGATCCCCAGCTCCTCCAGGTCGCATGTTGAAGTATTCTTGGGCAAGATGCTCTTCTAGTCTTACTGACAAGACTAGAAAAACACAATATAAGTCCATTTACCATGAGTTGTGTGTTTCCACTTATTCAAATAATAATCGGACAATTTCCCCTTCAAATTCACAATGAAATTCCGTATATGATCATCCACGTGAATGTGTGTATGAGGAAATGAATGTACAGGCAGCAGGTGACCAACCACATGAATGTGTTTGTAAGGAGGTGGATTTGAAGGATGTACAGATTAATTTATTATTAATTGATAAAAATTACAAAATGGCAGAACAACCAAAAAGACAAAAAAACGATGGAAAGGAATCACGACCCAAGAATAAAGGAAAGGCTGAAAAACAATATAATGAACTCCAACCCACATTAGCTCTGTTACCATTTGGTCCAATACAGCTTCCATGCATCTAAAACTGTCTTACAATACTTAGGCTACTCAATGCAATCAAAAGGGTATCTGTTACTATCACCACCCTATGACATCTGTTTGGAAAGAGCTCACTGCAAGAACTGGCAAGCAGCAGAATGTTACATACTAAGACAGTCCATACTGTTTGGCACTCACACTACAATAGCAAGGTATGGGAAGAAAAGCATAGAAAAGCTTTCTGACAAATACAAACACAGTTACAGCCTATATAAAGACAAACTTATGCTTCACACTGGTTGTCATGTACGTTTATATCATATGGACTATGCTAAGGGTTGTATCGTTAAAAAAGTGAACTAATTAAACTTTATGTTATCTTGATAGATAGTCATGGTAGAAGGCCCAGGATACAGTTGGGACAACAACCAACCCTTTTGTCCACCCTCACAAGTCCAATTCCACGAGAATCGGGGCTATTACACAAGGTTCAGATACATCTCCAGTGTAGACTTCAGGTAATCCCCTTTGATCCAGCTAAGATGAGACCAGGCATAGGGTTCTCCCCTCAAGGACCCTACAGGGAACCAATGGTACCAATAGGGATATGCTCCAGGCCCCTCAGGCGCAGGTCCAACTCTGCAGGGATATGCTCCAGGCCCCTCAGGTGTGGGACCAGCTCCAGGACCAGCAGAACTAGGATGGATGGCCCAGCAAAAGAGAGCATCAGGTCAAGCAGTTCCAATCCAAGGGGTACCAACGTAGGAACCTTTCTACCTTCTGCACCACCACCATCAAAGCCCTCACTGCTGTTCTAGCTGGTCCAACAACAAGATATGTCAGTCGAACAGCAAGACATGTCAGTCGAACAGCAAGACATGTCAGTCCAACATCAAGAGATGTCAGTCCCACAGCAAGAACCACCAGCTATGAAAAGAGCCAGAAGAGGAGTCCTACTCTCCAACCTCACCTAGCCTAGGTCCTTAACCTACATGGCCATGGTCACCACCGAATGATCCTGACAGGCAGGCCCAACCTATTGAGGATCCACTCCCACAGCCATCAACTAGCACTGATGCTGAAGATCAAGCTGCCAATGCTGAACCACCCATTGAAGTTGGAGACAAAAACACATTGGCTGATATGATGCTGCAGGAGTTTTGCCACATGATATCCAACCACCCAAAAGAAGAGGGACAGGCACTGAGCCTCATGAAGAGTAAGGAGCTGAAGTGGCACTATAACAAAAATACCTGATTGACAAACATTGTCATTACAGACAACTTTAACAACAGGTGTGGGAATTTGGCCCTTGACAGGGATCTTGTTGCCCACCGCATGAGACTCTGTATCAATGTCCTTGTAGTAAACTTTCATTAAAATGCATTCAGCATTATCAATATACTGAATGTTAAACTTATAAACTCAATGTATCAGCTATATCCACAGCTGAAGTTAAGTTTGTTATAGCATGTAACCTGGAAGGAAGGGTTTAAGTTTTTTTTTTTTTTTTTATGGTTGGAAAGTCCCTGGAAACAATGGTATCAGGGTTCCCTGGATTTGAGGAAATCCAGGGAAGGCTGGACACCATTGTTCCCGGGGCGTTGATAGGTTGTTTTTAGAAAAATAGCTGGAAAATTCACCTGAGAAGGAGGGATGGTTTTAATACATAAGATAAAAGATATAAGAAGGAGCTGGCTTGGGTTTGTCCTGTGAAAAGGAATAAACTCTATTACATGACCATCTCCAGTTAATTCCTCAAACTTTTGAGACTCCAGTATCTGTGCATCACTGTTGTTACATGTTGGTGAAAATGTCCAGACTTAAACTCGGGCCCAGACCTGGACTCCTGCCCTCCAACAGCTATCAAATGCACTAATTAAATCAGAATGAATATTAGTTGTATACAAATTTTCTAGGCTGTTGAAAAACATATTATGAATCATTCATTTGACCTAGCTTGGAGAGACAGTGCAACTATGCCAACCCAATGTGCACACAGAGAGGGAGAGGGAGAGGGAGAGAGAGAGAGAGAGAGAGTTATAGAGAGAAAGCTGGTCATATCAAAATACCGATAGAAAACTTAGAAAGTATGAAAGCTGATGGTTACCATAGTTATTTAAACCTTTATTTGTAAGTGTGTGAAAAACATTTGAACAAATCCTTTCTGCATGTAGAACAAATTAGGTAGACCACACTGCAGTTTTAATCATTGGGATTTATGCTGCCTCAACAACAATAAATCACTAAATGCCTTATGTACTGTATTTTCATTGTTTAACAAACTGTGTTCTTTTAGTTCCCTCACTCGTTAGATGGGCAATATACAATGCCTATTTGTAGGTGAAGAAGATACCATAATATGGTAATACTGTAAGCCAAAGCCAAATCCTGGATAGCCAGCTAGTATAGGCTACCAGCAAAACAACTGGGCAAGCATGTGTCCTACCAGTACACTGTAAGATGAATGACAAAGTTCAAATGTCCTCCTCTTACTCCTCATCACCAGTTACCTAATCATCAACGTTCTCAACTACCAGTTTGTTGTTGAACTATTCCTCCTCGTCATTTTCCTCCTCACCATTCTCCTCCTCCTCCCCCTTCTTCAACTTCTTCAACTATCCCTGTCTTGGCTGAGCTAACAGCACTCGTCCTGCACATTGCTCTAATTCTCTGAAACAGTGGATTAGGTGGTCCTCGCTGCCGTCAGCTGCCCTTTTCAGGCCGCACACCTTGAAGGATGATGATACAATTGAATTTACACACTCACTCCCTCTCTCTCTTGCCTTCTCTCTCTCTCTCTCCATCTCTCTCTCTCTCTCACACACACACACACACACACACACACACACACACGCACACACACACACACACACAAACACCTTGGAGTCTTTCACCAGCTCTGTACTCAACTTTATGTGTCTACCTTGTGTCTGATAGTTGAGTCTCCTCATCTCCACAGGGTCTGAGGAGTGGGCCAGTAGTGAGTCCTTGAAAACTGCCATGTGCTCATCCTTGGCTGGAGATGTTCGCTTCCTAGGGGAAGAAGTGGCGTGATGAGAGAAGGTCACCATTTAACCATTAAACCATATAGGACACAAATTAGTGCAGTTTTGAAATTTAATGTGATGCAAAAATGTTTTCAGCATCATGTTCACCAAGTATAGCTTTGATCATTGTTGAAATATTATGAAAGCTGTGAAGTGAGAATCTCTATAAATATCACACAGAAACCAAGCAATTGCTATGCGAGAAATAAAATTGAATAATGGATTCGCAGTGTATTTTGGAACTTTGGACAAAACCATGCTACCTGCTTTCCCCTTCTGAAAGATGAGATTCCTCTCTCAGAAAGAAAGAGCACTGAAAAAAATAAATAAATACTTAAAAAATGTGAAATCAAATTACTTTCCTCATAGTGTGTTGTGGATTTAATAGATTGGTTTTGGTTTTGAGCAAGGATATTCTTCAGGGTTGCGTTATAAAGTTCAGTGCCATGTCTTTAACACTGTTTGACAAAGGCATTTTTTGAAGTGTAGGTGCAAACTAAAGGGCTGTCACTGCACAATTTGGTATTTTACAGAGCAGAAAGTATGAATTTGAGGAAACAAATTAAATCATCTTGACAAAAAGTAAATAAACAAACTAGCAATTTAATTAGGAAGAGAAGAAATGAACACTAGGAAAAGAAGAACATTTATCAAGCTCTATATTTGAACATTTCTGTTTTCTGCAAGAAAGTATTGTTCAGGCATCAATTTTTATGAAAGAATTTTAGATTTTTCAGGTGTGGCGTTTGTTTTGCAGGCAAAGCTACAGGTGTGAGAGTGACTGAGAGATGAAAAAAACACAGACAGGATTATTCTGAGGGCAAGCTAAGAAGGATTTGTGAATTCAGCATTCAGAGGTGAACAGCAGAAAGCACACCTGAAGAAACAAAAATGCTAAAGCATACACAATCACTAACACACAAGACACACATGCTTACAAGCACTGTCGGTTAAAGCCTTTTTTCCCTTTTACACATGTAAGGTAAAAAAAAGGCTTGAAGACAGCTAGAGAAGCTGGCATGACACTATGGAAGTGTGACAACAATCTGTCACGTCTCATTATCACTGTTAGAAAATACGAGGAGGATGTGCAGAAGCGAAGTGGGACGTAAAGTAGTGTAAAAGAACTGACAGACTCACTAACCTTTCTTGTTTGCTGCATCCAAAGAAAGCAGGCAGAGAGTACCACACAGCGTCGCAGTAAACAGGTGTTTAAAGTGCCACGTTTATCAGTTTGATACATCAATATGGCCACATGGCACGCACACAACATGTGTTGGACAAGGTGGACAAGGCAATGACATATCTCAAGAGGACAGATTACAGATAGAATTTTCTCAACAACTGCAATGAACGCTACCAAAAATTAGCGTTCTCATGGACAGTAAGAGTATGAGTGCTCCACACACTTATCTGAGCTTCTCTAGTAATCTAATTATGTTCATTTGGACAGCTACAAGCCGCATTTTTGTTTCTGGATCCTCAGGGAAAATCACTGGAATTTGTCTGTCCGATGCATAGAATAATAATAGAAAAGAATTTGTTTTGTCCTTATAACCAATTTAAGACAAAACATGAGAGGATCTAGAAAATCAGACCAACATGTTTTGCACTAAGTCTGAGTCTGATGGGTTCATGCAGACACGCAGACACACACACACACACACACACACACACGCACACACTTTCAGTGTTTTGTTAGCTAGATTGTGTTGTAAGCTATCTCTATGCAGCGGTCAATGGCAAAATAAAGGCTGTAATATTGGGGACAGTGATTACTTTTAGCACAGTTAGTTATGTATGTTAGTTATTAGTTAGTGGTTTCCTGTTTTAGTTATTTTTCCTGCTGGATTTGTTTTCCATCAACAGTAAACTGCTGTCCAGGAGCCTATTCATAATTCAGAACTCTCAGCAGCAGACTTTTGGATAGCAATGGAACCATAATTAGGAACACATTTAGCAGTGATGTGATAAATATTTGGCTTGTAAGAATAAAATATGCAAAACATCAACTTGGACTTAGATCAGCAAATGATTTAAGATAGCTATGGGTATCTGAAATTCAGACACATGAAGAGAGAACAAGAGTAAAAGGAGGAATGAAAAAATGACAAAATGAGTGTTGCTATTTGAGCAAAGCAGCAGCCATATGGACGCTGGGGGGCGGGGGACCAAAGACCTCTCCTCTAGTCCATAGCCCTCCCAGTCCACCAGGTACTGACATCCATGTCCCTGATGGCGCATTGCCAGGAGGCGCTTAACAGTGAAGGCAGGAACCCCATTGATGACCCAGGGGGGTGAAGGGTCTGGAGCAGGGAACCATTGCGCTTTCTTTCACAGGTTTGGCACAGAAGACATGGAATGTGGGTTCAACCCTCCAGGGCATGGGGAAATTGAGGCATTCTGCCGTCAAGTTGACCACATTGGAGATGGGGAAGGGACCAATGAAACAAGGAGCCAGTTTATGGACTCCACTTGCAGAGGAAGGTCTTGAGCTGATAACCAGACTCTCTGACCAGGACGACAGGCTAGAGCTAGAGTATGCCGGCAGCCCACGTGCATCTTGTTATATTCTGCTGTTTTCAGAAGTTGGGCACGGGTCCCTCCAGGTACATCAACACCTGTGTATGAAAGCCAATGCCAAGGGAACCCCCATCTCCACCTCCAGATCTGGGAACAAGGGAGGCCTTTAGCTGTAAGCACACTGGAAAGGAGAAAGACAAATGGCAGAACAGGGTTGGGTGTTGTGTGCATAATCAGCCCACACAAGGTTCTTACTCCAGGTGGAGGGGTTGTGTGTAGACAGGTCTCCAATTCCTGGTTCATCCTTTCTGTTTGGGGGTGGTAACCAGACGAGAGGCTGACTGAGGCACCCAACAAAGTACAGAATGCCTTCCAGAACTGTGAGATGAACTGGGGGCCCCTGGTTGAACACAACATCCCTAGGGAATCCATGTATATGAAAAACATCACCTCTGCCATCGCCTTGGCAGTGGGTAACTTGGGCAATGGAATGAAATGCACAATTTTGGAGAAACGACCCACCACCCTGAGAATGGTGGTGTTACCATCAGAAAGTGGAAGTCCAGTAACAAGGTCCAGGGAAATGTCTGACCAGGTCTGATGTGGAACATGCACTTTTGTTCCAGGAACACACAGGCAGACTGCCACATATTTCAAAACCTGCTTCTCCATGGCTGGCCACTAGAAGATGGTCCTCCTAATCCCAGGATGACAGGAGACAAAAGAGGTGTGTGCCCAGAGGATAACCTGAGAACAGATGGACACTGGAGAGAAACATAACCTCCCGCCTGACCTTGTCCTCAATATCCCACATAACTGCACCCACCACACAGGAGGCGGGCAGAATGTCAGAGAATGATAGAGTCACTAGAGGAGTCATTGTCAAACTGACGGGACAAGGCATCAGGCTAACATTCTTGGAGCCAGGGTGATAAGATAAAGCAAACTTGAATCTTTTAAAAAACAGAACCCACCTGGATTGTTGAGAGTTCAGTCTTGTGCATATATATTCCAGATTCCGCCCACACCAAAAAACTTTGCCCCATCCAACCAATGCCTCCACTCCTCCAAACGCCACCTTAACTGCCAGCAGCTCACGGTTACCCACATCATAGTTATGTTTGGCTTTGGACAGTTTCCTGGACAAGAAGGTGCATAGATGGAGTTTGTTGTCCTTGGGGGACTGCTGGGTCCCTATGCCCACATAATAATACCATAGAAATACCTGTTTTTAATGGCAATATCATTGAAGATGAGAGATGTAGGGCCCAAGGAAGGATCTGGAAGAGACTATTAAAAAGGATCTGGATCAACCCACATAGACTACTCTGAACTGGAACTCGGGGAACAGAAAGAAGGCAAACAGATAAGAGAGCAATTTTTTCCCCAGCCCGTTACCTCTCCAGTGGCCCAGTTGATACTGGGATTGTGCTGGACGAGCCACAGGAGACCCAGAATGAGTGGACGGAGAGGTGAGCTGTATAGGTGGAAGAAAAGCTCTTTGGAGTGTCCATGAGCCATGACGATCTTGACAGGTTGAGTGCAATGAATAACTCTGCGTTAGCCTCAAGGGTCTTAGGTATGGAAAACACTGAGAGCTTTAATTATTTATTTATAATTATCGTATCGTAAGGTCGTCTCCCGCTTATCCGGATCCTGGTCGTGGGGGCAGCAGCCTCAACAGAGAGGTCCAGACGGCCCTCTCCCGTTCTTCCTCCGGGAGAATCCCGAGGCGTTCCAAGGCCAGCTGAGAGATATAATCCCTCCAGCGTGTCCTTGGTCGACCTCGAGGTCTCCTCCCGGTGGGACATGCCCGTAACACCTCCCTGGGGAGGCGTCCAGGAGGCATCCTCACCAGATGCCCGAACCACCTCAGCTGGCTCCTCTCGACATGGAGGAGCAGCGGCTCTACTCCGAGTCCCTCCCGGATGACCGAGCTCCTCACCCTATCTCTAAGGCTGAGCCCGGCCACCCTGCGGAGGAAACTCATTTCGGCTGCTTGTATTTGCGATCTCGTTCTTTCCGTCATTACCCAAAGCTCATGACCATAGGTGAGGATCGGAACGTAGATCGACCAGAAAATTGAGAGCTTCGCCTTCCGGCTTAGCTCCCTCTTCCCCACAACAGACCAATTCAGCGTCCGCATCACTGCTGACGCCGCCCCAATCCGCCTGTCGATCTCCCGCTCCATCCTACCCTCACTCGTGAACAAGATCCCGAGATACTTAAACTCCTCTACTTGAGGCAAAGCCTCCCCCCCGACCTGAAGCGGGCAATCCACCCGTTTCCGGCTGAGAACCATGGCCTCAGACTTGGAGGTGCTGATTTTCATCCCAGCCGTTTCACACTCGGCCACGAACCGCCCAAGCGAGAGCTGAAGGTCGGCGTTCGATGAAGCTAGGAGGACCACATCATCCGCAAAAAGCAGAGATGAGATCCTCCCGCCACCGAAACCAAACCCGTCCACCACCCGGCTGTGCCTAGAAATTCTGTCCATAAAAGTTATGAACAGAACCGGTGACAAAGGGCAGCCCTGGCGGAGTCCAACCCTCACCGGGAACAGGTCCGACTTACTGCCGGCTACGCGAACCAGACTCACACTCCTTTGGTACAGGGATTTAATGGCCACTAACAAGGGGCCATCCACCCCATACTCCCGGAGTGCCCCCCACAGGGTGCCCCTGGGAACACGGTCGTAAGCCTTCTCCAAATCCACAAAACACATGTGGACTGGATTGGCAAACTCCCATGCTCCCTCCAGCACCCTAGCGAGGGTAAAGAGCTGGTCCACAGTTCCACGCCCAGGACGAAAACCACATTGCTCCTCCTCGATCTGAGGTTCAACTATCGATCGGACCCTCTTTTCCAGTACCCTGGCATAGACCTTACCAGGGAGGCTGAGGAGTGTAATTCCACGGTAGTTGGAACACACCCTCTGGTCACCCTTCTTAAAGATGGGGACCACCACCCCGGTTTGCCACTCCAAAGGCACTGCCCCCGATGTCCACGCAATGTTGCAGAGGCGTGTCAACCAAGACAGCCCTACAACATCCAGAGCCTTGAGATACCCAGGGCGGATCTCATCAACCCCCGGGGCTCTGCCACCGCGCAGTTGTTTCACTACGTCGGCGACTTCTGCCCCGGAGATTAGATCATCCATCCCCAGGTCTCTTGGCTCTGTTTCCTCTACGGAATACGTGTTGGTGGGATTGAGGAGCTCCTCAAAGTATTCCTTCCACCGTCCCACTATATCCTCAGTTGACGTCAGCAGCTCCCCGCCCCCACTGTAAACAGTGTGAGCGAGTTGCCGCCTTCCCCCCCTGAGGCGCCGGACGGTTTGCCAGAACCTTTTTGGAGCCGATCGATAGTCTTCCTCCATTGTCTCACCGAACTCCTCCCACGTCCGAGTTTTTGCCTCAGCAACTGCCGCAGCTGCACTCCGCTTGGCCCGCCGGTACCAGTCAGCTGATTCCTGAGACCCACAGGCCAACCACGCCCTGTAGGCCTCCTTCTTCAGCCTGACGGCTTCCCCCACCGCCGGTGTCCACCAGCGGGTACGGGGGTTACCGCCACGACTGGCCCCAGCTACCTTGCGGCCGCAGCTTGCAACAGCCGCCTCAACAATAGCAGAGC